TCTATTCCAGGGCCATTGCCGCTGTGCAATTACGCTTTCGAGATGAGGCCGCCAGCCAAAAGACCATCAGGCATGTCATGTATCCTTGACGGTCAGATGTGCGGGCTGGGGAGTCTGTTGGTTGATGTGACAAGGACGATCCCTCGTGCGGTATCACTACTTAATGCAGGTGTTGCAAAAGCTTAGTCGCCCTGGCGTGCTTCAAGGCGATGATATAAGTTCCATGTCGTTCCCGCTCGCTCTCCTTCTATCTCGGGGGAATTGTCCCTCATCACTCTCTTCAGAGTATTATGCGTTTAGCGGATTCAAGAATAGGCGGAACCGGCTTTGCTACTCCTGAGTGAACAATGTCACGGAACATTCCGACGGTCGATGCCCGCGTCGAAACAGACTGCTTGGTCATTGGAGCAGGCCCTGCTGGCGCATCGTTGGCATGTTTTCTGATCAATTATGGTATAGCGAATCCTATACCTCGTACCTGTGGCAAACAAGCACTCACCCCTTCGGGAGCCAGGACTGAGAGTGATGCTCATCTCGGACGCGCCCGGAACAACAGCTACTCCTAGGGCACATCTGGTCAACATGGCAGGCCTCGGTAGAATCATCGGTCCTGTTTGGGTTGGTCTGTAAACATAGCTGACGGGTCACAAGAGTGCATGCGCGACCTTGGCCTCGAAGACGAATGTCTGCGTCTTGGAAATCGTGGTGACGCTCTCAACTCGATTCGTTGGTGCTATTCTATAACGGGGGTGGAGTATGGACGAATCCATGCTTGGGGTGCTGGGCCGGCAAAGATGGTGCGCCTTGGAATGCATAGCTGATACCACCTGGCTGCTGACCAGCACACAACAGGGCGAAGTGGCCGACGTCAGTCCCTGTGCGTCTCTGGATCTCCCACAGACTTACCTCGAGCCGATACTGGTTCGATATGCGACTACGCACGGCGTGAAATGCCTGTTCAACACGTGTTTCGAAGATCTTGAACAAGACCTTCAAGGCTGTGTGACCAGTGCCTTGAACAAAGTGCTCGGCCAGAAATTCAAGATCCGATCCCGCTATGTGTTTGGCTGCGATGGAGCAAGAAGCCCAGTGGCAGCGCAGATCGGGCTTTCGTATAATGTCCAGCCTTCAGGGGGCGTCGCGTACAATATCCTGTTCAATGCTGACTTGGGCGACATCATGAAACATCAAACTGGACACCTGCATTGGATAATGCAGCCAGACACGGACCTCGAACATGGAATCGCACCCGTGTTGCGGATGGTCAAACCATGGCATCAATGGATCTTGGTGATATTTCCCAAGCCTGGAATGGACATCAAAGCTTTCGGGTCCTCTCAAGAAGCCACTAATCAGGTCAGCGATCTGCTCAAGGCGGTGATAGGTGATGACAGAATTGCGTTTGAGGTGGTGGACATTTCAAGTTGGCGGATCAACGAGACGGCGGCAGAATCGTATTCCAAGCAGAATGTGTAAGTACTATCGGACTGCTGACACCGCACATCTTTGGGTGAAAAGCCGCTGAAAGGCAACCAGGTTTTGCCTTGGCGATGCAGTCCATCGACATCCCCCTATCTTTGGCCTGGGCAGCAACACCTGTATACAGGACGCCTACAACTTGGCCTGGAAAGCTGCGCTGGTCGTGAAAGGGAAGGCATCTCCAGCCTTGCTGGACACCTACAACACGGAGCGGCAACCCGTCGGCCAAGATCTGGTGAAGTGGTCAAACGAGCTTCTACGCAACCACGCGACTGTCTGGGGAGCAATTGGTATGTTTGGGGAGACGAAGGAGGAGCGGATCAGGGCCAACAGGGAACTCTCGGAGGCTTCAGAGGCCGGCAAGGTGCGCCGCAAGCAGCTTTTTGACGCGCTGGAGCGACACCGCGACGAAGGTGACAGTGTGGGTATCATGATGAACCAGTGGTATACCTCCGGTGCCATATATCTGGGAGACGAGGAGGTGCCTCCCCCTCCCTTCACCGGCAACTACCTCACCCAAGCCCGCGTCAGTACGTACCCTGGCAACCGGCTACCGCACGCATGGCTCAGCAAGGATGTGCCCAGCAAGGAGATTTCCACGCTCGACTTGGCCGGGAAGAGTGCGTTTTCGCTATTCACCGGCCACGGTGGAGACGCCTGGAAAGCTGCAGCCAGCACGGTGGGTGACAAGCTTGGAATCCCCATCAACGCGTTCGCAATCGGCTTTGGACTCGACTACGCTGACAAATACCGCGACTGGACCAAGAGGAGAGAGGTCGACGAGGATGGATGTGTCCTGGTGCGACCTGACCGGTATGTTGCGTGGCGGGCAAAGCAGATGATGGCGCCGATGGCGACCTCATGCGAGGAAAGGCTCGAGCAAATCTTGAGATCGATCCTGTCGATCTAGGGAATTAGTATACTTTGAGTTTGCGAAATGGAGCGGGCTTTAGCAGCAGAAATGATGGGCATTTTATGTTAAAAATTGGAATAACAAAGCATTGGAAATACCCACTGCATACGTGAAATGCTTGTTTCTCCATCGCAAGGCAATGTGCACGGTTGCATTCCCCATGCCTGAGCTGGCACAAGCTACTCAGCACACACACAACGAAATGGGCACTAGGCGGCGGTCCGGTTCCAAGACTTGCTAGCGTAGTCGTACCCGTAGTCGAAGCCGATGCTAGGAAAAATGGTGTTGTAAATGGCAACGGTATAGACTCAATACCCCATTTTTTGTAAATAGCCTTCGTGCCGATGACATGTTCCCGGACGAATGAAGGGCTTCCTGGAGCGAGATAGGCTGAGCTGATGGTGGTGTATGGGAGCCAGATGCCCGTCCTCTCCCTCTCCGCCTTTTGTAAGGCTGACCTCAACAGTGGTGACTAGTGAAGGACTCGGTTCGGGGCGTGTGTCCTTGAGACCACTGCATCTTGTCCTACGGGACTCTGCATCCCCCATGGCCATGTCTGCCCCAGCCTAGCGCGTTGCGCGTTGCGCCTTCAAAATCAATGACATCAAGCCTCCTACATCAACACCACCACAACAACGGGACGTGACGAATATGGCAGCTCGGTTTGTAAACTCCTTCACTATGTCCGGCTCAGCCGTGGAAGAAAACCCAAACCCGTGGCTCTCCCTTGTTGCACTCTGACCATCAAATTCCTGTATGTATACGAGCCGTATCTCAGTCAGGCAGGATTGTTTCTTACTTCAGACTGACACCGTCCAGACGTCGGTCGGCTCGATGCAGCCCTTTCTCGTGGCTATCCATCAGAAGCCATGTTGACATCTTCAAGCTCGGCAAAGACATTGTCTGGGTAACAAACTCGCTCCTTCGGTACACTTTCGATGCCGTGAGATCACCATTCAGTCTGCCTGATTCCGTCCGCGGTGGAAACATGGACAAGTTCATTTTCATTCGACAAATCTCGTTGTCGCCTGCCACGTAGTCAACTGGCCACTAACAGGACGGTTAGCATCTAGACCTGCATGTTACCTTGCATACATTTCCACCTGCCAGAAGGGGAACTCATCCGTCTTTGGAACCCAGACTCCAAGTTGTCTCTCCCTCCCGGTGCCTACCTATAAATGCTCAGAGAAGGCCAGCTGTAACAGGTACTCACCTTTTGCCGGCGATTAGCATTTCCTGCAGAACTGTGTCCTCCAGCCTTCTCGGCCATGAATCTCTTCTCCATTTTAACCCCCCTGTCGCTCTTGGCCGGTGCCACGGCTCTCCCAACCCCCAAGCGAAGTGGTGACTGGCAAGGCTGTCTTTCGCAAGCTGACGCCGAGTCGATTGTCGGCCAGTATATCACGATACTAGAACATACCGACGTAGCTGCTGCCAATGCCACGGCCCAAAGCGTGCTCGATCCAAACTACACCGAGACTAGCGATTCGATCTTGTCGCTTGAAGGGCTGCCAGTAAGTCCTCCAGCTATTTGCCAACCGGGGGACTTCACCTAATAACCATCGTGTTAAAACAGCTCGGAACCGCAACCTTTGTTGGAAAGGATGTGTATATCAACGGAGTCCTCAGTGCGCCAGGTCTGAATGGGATCACCACCATTGAGATCCTCGTCGCCGGCTGCACCAAGATTCTCTGGTATTGGAACTTTCTGGGTGTTGGAAGCGCTAAGTATGAGGTCAAGGGCTTCAATCTGTTCACCACCACGCCGCCATTGCAGATCTCGCAGGTCGATCCAGAGTTCAATTCAATTGCTTGGGGTCTCGACACAGGGTATCCGCTGATCAGACCTTTCAGTACAGCTCCCACCCGCAAGTGAGAAGAGTTGGGAAGGTCCAGTCTGGGAGGAAACAGGCAGATCTTGAAGTAGCATAATCGACCGCTTTATCCTTCCACTGTGCTATTGTGTTGATCAAGCACCTGAAAGTTGAGAATGTGCTTTGCGGAAAACAAAGCTAGTCAACGCGATTGCGGGGAAGTCGTAAATCAAGGAGCCCCCTTTAATATGTACATACCTACCGAGTCCATAATAAGTGGACTCGAGAGTCGAGAAATCCTTACAACCTTCCTTACTCAAACAAGCAAAGGCTACATACCATTGTATTAATTAGCTGCCCTCGCGCCCGACGCCCGCAGAAGGATCTCGGAAAGAGTTGACCGAGACGCGCCTACGCATCACCATCCCCAAACCCTGCGTCGCTCGCTTGCCCACCCGCTGTTGCGGGCATTCACCACGGATCTATTATTACCGAGTCCTGTCGACATTGCGCTGCACTGCGTCCTGGCCTTGATCGCCCGCCAGCTGTGAAAGAAAAAACAGATCATGACAAGAAAGAAGCCGAAGCCCTCCTCTTCTGCGCAGTCCACAAATCAATCGGCGGAAGGCAACTCCGCAACTACTCGTGGGAAACAAGAGCCACCGAGTCCAGGTCCAATACCGGCTCCAGCAACAGATGGTAGAGGCTCTACATCACACTCGAGCTCGACGGGGCCGCCTGCTCTGATCATCTGTCGCAACAAGTAATTGGACTTTCCTGTCCAATTTGAGGCAATGGCCCTCCTCGGTTGGACATCTCGTTCTGCAAAGGCTAACCCTCGAGATAGACACTGGAAGCATATATCTTGCTATCACGGCCCATGGCTCGGCCTCCCGATCGAGGTCCTCGAGAGTCTCGCTTACAGCAATTACTATTCTCCTCGTCCTCACCCAGTCCACCCTGCCGTCCTCTTCGACCTCGTCAAGATCAGAAAACTGATCGACGAGGCAACCAGTCTCGCTGTCCGCGCTGCGAACGGCACCACTTCCACGTCCTTGCACACCTCACTGAGCCCGAATAAGGGCATCTACTATGGACCAGATGCAGAGATCCTGGGGCTAAACGGAAGAGCCGGTGGAAACGCGAAATTGAGTCGTGAACGAAGGCACCGAATGCGGGACCATGCAACACAAAAGTTATACCACGCATATTCCCTCGATGAAATCGCCGCAAGCGTTGTCACGATGCAGTCGGCATCAGCACTTGAAGACGTCGCGAAGCTCGTCTTGGGGCGCGAGGATCAAAATCCGGATGCACTATATGTCCACTTCTTTCACGAAAAGATTCCTTCTATGGCAATGGCAGACTATACTCCGTTGGATCCTCTGAACCATGTGATCAACCGAAAGCCCACGGACTCGTCACCATACAGGACGAGAGCCGTCACCCGTATGTTCAAGTACGATTATGAAGGGGTGGTGCGAGACTGCACAGATGGTCTCGCTGTGCACAGGTTATACCATTCACAACATCAGAACGACCAACAGGGTCTGATTTTAGCTAAGGATGCGACCACGCTCGGTCGAGAATTCCAGCCAAGGGGCCGCGTAGAGGACAAGGATCAACCTAGCAGTATGGAACCCCAGCTGTTATGTCTTCGAGGCGGAGCATACCTCAATCTTGCGTGTGAAAATATCAGACGGGCTCTACACGGTCTTCACGGAGATGGTGCTGAACAAGCAGCTGACGACATGAATCCCCCCGTGGTGGACATTAGGAACAAGGAGGCCAAATATCGTGCAGAAGCACGGAAGCTAGCCCGGACATATGCGAAGAGGGCTCTTCGTGATTATCTCTCCTTCCTGTCCCATTTCGAATACACGCCAGGTCTTCCGCTGGAGTATACGGTCCAATTTGTTGACAACGTGAGTGCTCCATCACTTGGACGTCGCTCCCGCGGCGAGAGGTTACTCGATATTGACTCCCACGCGCGCACCGGGATGTCGCAAGCATTGGTAAAGTATGAGAGCATGAAGGATCGCCTTAAAAACAAGGGACGCCCCTTGCTACCCTCACCCTCTGTCTACAAACTGAATGAGTTGTTTGCGGCTGTTCCGCCTGCAGACGTACCGCCTTACGCTCCTGAACGAGATACGCAAATCGACCCAAATCATCCCATCTTCTCACTGCCAGACTTTGCCGAAGCAGTCACCTACCATCCACTCTTGATAGACGTCCTCCACTCTCTGTTATTGTGTCATTGCATTGTTCAAACTTCGACCAAGGAGCTTCAGCGACATGCTTACATGGTTGCACGTGTCGCCCGCGTCTGCGACGGTTATCCAATCTTTCTATCCCCTCGATCTTCGGCCCGGGCAGACTGGATGGAAATTCTAACCCGCACAGAAAATTGGATTGGACTCGCGCAATCTTGGAAGACTTTGTGTACGCCGGCGCATCTTGCTGGGTATCAATACAAATCCAAGCCAACGGACAGGAAAGAAACGGCTGAAGAGAAGAGGCTACGAATAAAGCACGCGGCCTACATGCAAGCGTTAGCCGATGAGGGAATTATGGAGGAAGAATCGAGAGCGGCCGCCTACGGGGAGGAAGATACAACGAGGAAAATCTACAACCGCACGAACCTGATGGGTTCCGAGTCGGATCCCAGCGGCGATGGTAGGAATGAAATCTCTTCCACAGCAGCAGAACGATGGGCCATGGAGGATGAGTGTCCTCCGGGCAGCACAGAACGGGCCGACGCTATTGTGCAATGGATCATGGAGGCACCGCCTCCCAACATATCTGATGGCAGTCGGCCAAAGAAGAAGTCTGGAGGAAAGGGGAAATTGAGAAAGATGGGCAGCACTGCCTCGAATCTGAGAGAGACTGAGATGACGGCCGTGGAGCAGAGTGTCGAGAATTTGGAACTGGTGGATTGAAAAGGTTCTCAGTGCCTCGATGTGGTTACCGTAAACCGTTGGCGGCAGCATCTCGATGGAGGAGCTTCTTGGACTCTTGCAACACTCTACCAAAATGCTATGAGCGATGAAAAGCACATGTACTATTTATTTACCAGAATGCAGGTCAAATGGGTTGCGAACCCATCTCCAGCTCTGAGGTCTGGGGGATGCAGACCGACCAATGGCGTCGACGAGAAGCTCGATAGCTATTCTCCTCCTCTCTTTCTTCCACACCCCGTTCCCATTGAAAAGAGCACAGAGTTGTTTTGTTGGACTTTTTCCAACTGAATCCTCGCTCAAATACCCCTGGCCAATCGACGAGGCCGCCTTGATGTTGGCGGCGCAAGCAGATTGAAACCCGCTCGGTGCTCACTTTGGGACCAGTCTGAGCGTGCTGTTTATTTTTATTCCGTATATAAAACTAGCTACCTTTTCCTCACCCTATCCTCACCTCTCACCTTCTGCTCACCCTTCGAGTTGCGCTGGTTAGTCTGTACTTAGCACCTAGTTTCTAGACGGTTGTCGCATCTCACATTGTGCCAAGGTCGCGCTCAGCTGCATGCGCATAGCACTCTTAGTGCAGGATCCTCGTATGCACCGAGTATACTCTATACGAGGTACCTCGTACATCTTTAGACATACCAAGCTTAGGAAGTCGATGCCTTACCGTGCCTATGTCCCCAGATAAGCGATACGTTTCATATCGAGTTGCTGACGGGCCTTCGGTGGAACATGTCGATCTCCCCGCTTGCCTTGGCGCCGACCCTCCAGCTCGTCGACTCTGCCGAGCCCCGAGGTCTCCAAACCCACAGCTGCCGAGACTTCCAACTCTTAATAGCTAAGTACTACTCTTCGGTTAAGGCGCCGCGTGAAGAAGACTCGTCAATGCCAATCCAAATCTACGGTTAATACGATTAGGTCTTGCTCGTTTCGTCGAGCCAAGGCAAGCTGGCGGCTGCTTCCAGGATACCACTCACCAGCGTCACGGAAGGGGCTGACCTGTGTCGGTTCTGTGTTTGTCACTTCTACCGGCGCGTAGCCAAGACCATCGAGAGGGTCAATCGGCGCAGAAGCTTGGAAGTCGGTGCCCTACGCCGCTACAGAATCAATTTTGACTTTCGGCAGTCTCATGAAAGTTTCTGGATATGATAGATATTTTGCAAAAGAGACTTCTGCGGAACAAAGACTTCGAGTCGGATTCGAGGGTGTTTTCAAGTCAGATGCCTCCTCGGTGACTGTGTCTCATATGCATTGAAACTGTTCGAGACTCTGGTTACACCATCCCAGCGCCCCCGGCGAGAAGCTGATATCGCCAGCAAGAAGCTACAACACTGGCCGCCACGGATCCGCTCTGGATGCTTCAGGAATTGCAGCTAAGCATGGGAGAACGCGCCTCTAGATTGGGCCCTGTCTCGATCTCGCCTTTTTACTACAGCCACCGGCGACTAAATTCGGGCGCCAATTCAGTGCAACCCTGCTTCAACCAGTCTGGAACCCTTGTCCCGAAACAGTTTGGCACTGTAATTCGCACAAAATGCTTCAGAAGCGGGTGACTGCAGCGGTCTTGAATTTGAGCCTAGGCGCTGTCCGTTCGGCATAGCCCACAGCCAAAAGATGCTCAGGTCGCCTGGGGCGGTGGACATGAGCAAAACTGTCGCAGCTGAGGGGATGGTGCCTGGCATCGAAGCACTGTATCCCTTCCAAAGGCTCTCGCAATATCAAAGGGGAATTGAACGTCATCACCTCTGCACTGAGTAGGTCTTATGAAGCCTACGCACTCGCTTTGTGCTCAGTTCTGCTTGCAATCTCCAACCGTATGTAGATACAGCTTGCGATCTCAATCAAGACGGTGAATCGTTTGCAGCATTCCGGTGAGTTCTTAGCAACCCTAGCATCGACCGAATTGCTCGCACCGGCATTGTTCTAAAGGGGGACAGTGCACAGCTTCCTGTCCAAAGATGACATGCCAGAGATACTCGAAGACCCTTCCACTCGTATCATCATCGAGAGGAGTATCAAGTAGCCACTGGCGGTAATGCTCGTAATCCGCCTTGCTGCGCTTCAGGGCCTGCGTTTTCGAGATGGCAAATTGTGAACAACACGGTTGAGCGATGACTTGGGGTATATCCGTATAGTTGACCCCAAACATGTAAGGCCATGCCTCCCTCATAGCGTGCTCAGCAGTGCGGTGATCGTCTTGTCGATCGACTTGTATTTCTGCGGGACAGCCCGGGTCATGAATGCAACGCATATTAGCATAACCATGTTGTTCGAGGTATTCAAGCCTTAGAGACCTGATGGAATTGATTTGGTCGTGATCGTCACTATCCGTATGCCATGCTTCAGGCCAACCCCGAAGGTGAGGATGGACGAAGACCATGTACGATGGAAGAATGTCGTAGTGATCGATGATGAAGGTAAGATACGCCATGGACTCCCGGCCTTTGTTGAGTGGTGGATGGAGCACTCCTTCATTTGGTTCATCCATATAGTATACAGCTTGTTTCCAACTGGGACGGGCATCCTCGTCAGCGCACACGCAGCTCTACAGAAGGTGCTGGGTAACATACTCTTGAAGGTAGTCAAAGACCCAATTCACATCTTCGCTGTGGACCTTGGCCAGAATCACCGCTTTATCCTCCGCCTCGGGACCTGAGTAGATCCATGCTCTGGAATCATCGGGCTTATTGAGGTCATTAGGCTCGTTGGGCTCGTTGCCGAGCTGAAGTCTGAGGGAAACGGCAGCTTTCGTGTTGTAGAGTAGACCTAGGGCGAAGAAAACCAAAATCGTGGCCACCAACGCAACGCGACACTGCAGCCTCGAAATCAACATTGGAAGACGAAAGTTGCGCTCATCCGTGCCTTCGTGATTGCAGTGGGACACGGGAGCTACCGAGATGCTGAGGATGCTCGGAAAGAAAGAAAGCGTGGTGAGGGCAGAAAAAGTTGCGTCCCGAATGCGACAACCAAGGCCAACGAGGCCCTCGTGTCGTTTCTCGGGCTGGAGTTGGGCTGGCCTCCCTGGATCATTGACTCGCGGGTCCGCCGATCGATCGCCCTTGGCGTCTGGGGCCAACTGCTGTAAGCGCCCAAAATCTTAATTTAAGCCTCACAAGGCCTCACTAGCCTCTATGGCGCTTTTAGTGGGTACGAGGTACTTTAGACATCCTTGTGCGTGTAGAGAGCACGCACCCATAGTAACGAGACAACTCAGCCCCTACGAGGTCAAACCTAATAATGAAAGGAGGTGTCTGGCCTTGGGCGCAGAGCTGAACACAAAGTGAGCCACGGAGGAAGGGACCGCCGTAGAGGAGGTATTGCTGGCCTGATGCTGTATTGACGAGATTCATGGAGGACGAGCGAGGGAGCATTCTTCGCTGGCGAGTAGTGCAAACCCAAAATCGCGTCAGTCTTGCGGGCCTCCTGGGGCCTCCCATGAATTTCCTACCTTGACCTACCCTTGACGAGCCCTTGACCTACTTAATGGTACAACACCAGTACATACCTATCTCGTACTCGGTACAGACCAAGTACACAAATCCGCCAAGTGGATCCGCCGGCGGCAGCGATCAGGAATAGAGAACTACCAAGCACGTTACCCTGCAATGCTTCGAAAGTGCAGTTACCCATTGTTGTTGGCCAGGAGACTTTTCGAACGCCGCTATCAGAGAGTATTTTAAGAACATTCAGGATGAGAAAGAGAAGGAAGCCGAATTGCGTCGAGGCGGCTGTTGAGACAAAGATGACACCTTCGTGTCCCTTCACCCTACCCAACCAAACTTGGGCCACAGAGCCAACTAATCAATACCAGCGCGTCCTGCAACCGCCTGCCCTCACCCTGTTGTTGACGTAGACGAATCCTTGTTCCAGCACACTGCCTCTGCGACTCCAGCGTTTTTCCCTTCGCCATGGACGGCATGCTTTCTTGGCTTCCAGCTCAGTTCTCCCCTTCGCGAGGATTCTATTCAAGCCTCTCCAGGGAAGACATGTTCAAGCTGTATTGGAGACCCTTCTTCCGTACAGTGATCGTGTCTGCTATCATCATTGCAGTCTTCTTAGTATCTCGACCACTTGCCTCTTCATCAACTCCCATTCCCTTTGTCAAAAGCAGTTTCGACTGGTCCACCTACACCTACCGACACCCTCTACAGTCCGTTACTCCTCTCCCGACAGGAAAGCCGCGCCGATTTCCTCCAGTCCAGTACAAGTTCCGGCGAGAGTCGAGAGCTGCGGCAACACAGCGAATATCGCGCCAGCAATCGATGCTGAAAACATTCAAGAAATGTTGGCAAAGCTACAAAACTCATGCTTGGCTGAAAGATGAACTGCAGTCCATCTCTGCAAAGAGCAAGAATACGTTTGGTGGATGGGCAGCCACGCTGGTCGACTCTCTGGACACCCTCTGGATGATGGGACCCAGGGAAGAATTTTATGAAGCCGCAGAGCCGGCAGCAAGCATTGACTAGGCAATAACGCCAGATACCTCATGCAACATGTTTGAAGTTAATATCAGACATTTAGGTGGCCTGCTAGCAGCCTACGACCTAAGTCACGAGCCAGCCCTGTTGGCAAAAATGTTCGAGTCCATCCAGGCTGCCACGGAGACCGAATATGCCAATGCTGCCATTGATGATGTGACTATCACTGGCAAGCCATCGCAAAGGGATTCAATGGAGGTAAGAGCTTCCGATAACTTCCAGACTGCAGGCTTGACTAAGAAATTATTAGAGCTTCTGGTTCGCAGAAACACTAAAATATCTCTATCTCATCTTCTCACCACCTAATCTTATTAGTCTGAATGACTACGTCCTTAACACCGAGGCACATCCATTAAAACGTCCAAAGTAACAGTTTGCTGATCATCAGAGGACTAGATGTTGGAATAATGTTACGCTCTCCAAGACTGGAGTAGCTGCGCTGGGAGCCGTTGCGCTCAAGCCCGGACTCAGCAGGATCTCTGCCGCGGCAGTCATTCACTCGTCCACCCAAGTGGATGGTTCTCATCCTGCCGGAGCGTGTTCCTTTTAACAACAGAAATGCGATTTCCCCTCAAGGCACTCAGACAACAACATTCAGGGATACCTATTTATTCATGGCCAGCCTATCGCGCGAGCAGTGTCTGTTTATCTTTGTTGACGTTGATGAGGTTCTGGTTGGGGCTGACAAGCTAGGTGACATTGAAAATACCAGTGCAAAAACCTCCGTCACCACGAGGAGTACCTCTGTTATCCCCAGCATAGCCGCACTGCCAGAATCCTCTCGCCTGTCATCCGACACACCAGCACACTATCACACCAATCTGCCGCCCTCGCCGTCTCACTCATCCTTCGAAAAAGACCTACGCCTCCTCAACCCTGCCTCAACGTGGATCCCCGTCAAGATCACCATCCATGGTCGTCGCCTCGACCTGCCCCACGCCCACGACGGGGTCTTCAAATCCACCTTCCCCGTCTTCTGTGTCACCTGCCTGGGTCCCGTCAACTATGTCTCGCTCTGCTCGACATTCGACACGATATCTTCACTGACGTCCCTGCATTGACGCTGGCGCAGAATCATAAGGCGCGCACGTTCATCACGTTGCTCGACGCGCTGTACCAAGCGAGATGTCGGTTGTTGATAGAGACGCCCCCAACACCCCAGGAGGGGGCAAACTGTCCTTTTCAGAGACCAGGATCAGGAGAGCAGCAACAGCGTCCGCTTCTGGTGCGAAAGGTCACGACGGCGGCGGTGGTAGTCGTGATGATGATGATAGCAGCCAGTCAATCACTTCCAAATCCTTCTCCGAGATGTACCAGGACTCCAAGGTGCCTTTCCGATCAAACATCTTCTCTTACAGATGCAAACAGGCGCTCTACAATACCATCCTCTCCCTCCCCCTCGTCTACTCCGCCCTTACAGGATCCAAGCGTTCGAACCGTTCTTGCCCGCGAGGACGCTGATTATGGGCCCGCCCAGACGAAATTCACCAGCACATCTGCAGTGACTGGGGAGGATGAATGGTTCCCGTATAAGCATTCATGAAGTCGGCTGTGGGAGATGTGTGGGAGGAAATGGTGGGATGAGCGCCTGTCCGTTGCTCAGCGAGTGGATGGTGATGAGGGTGATGACGAGGATGTTGATGATGGAGGTGGCGAAGGGTGCATAGCTGCAAGAGAGGAGCACACAGCGACTGCATGGTGGCACTCCGTCCACAGATCCAGCCGCGCCTGGGGATCGGCCGCTGCCGCGTGATCAAACGACCTCGCCGCCACTACACACCGATCAACAACAGCAACAACACAACAACAACAACAATCCAACAGACACCACTTCGCCGCGGCCCCAGCCCCAGCCCTGGGCCCCGGACCCTGTCTAGTGGCCTCGACTGCAACGACCCCCATCAATCCGCCTACGAAAAGCAAAGGCACAGCCCCAAAGCTCGACGCGTTATTTCAACACGAGGCCTCGCTGTATCGGAGCCGTGCTGATCCATCCCAATGATTCAGGTTGCAGCACGCACAGAGGATGATGCGGTGGGGGAAGAGAGCCGGGGAATGGGGCAAAGGCGTTGACGGCGAGAGAATGTGGAAGCACCACGATGATGAAGCGCCTGGTGCCCATGAGAAGTGACTAAGACGGAGTGGATTCCTCCAAGGGCCGCATGACCAGCCAAACAGACGTTCACACTGACAGATTAGCGCGGAACAGCGGTACACCAACATGATACAGCACAGTAGCCCACGATCCCGGATATAGGAACAAAAGTTCTGTTTCTATAAACGTCTGTGGCCTGAATAGATATGTAGATACGGAAAGAAAAAGATGTCCCGTCCTCAACCTCTGGTCGTCAATTTCCAGTTTCCCAATCCTCTGGTTCTATCCAGTTGTCGTCCAGCCCACTCCCGGCCATAGCCCCCTAGGTTGCTTCCATTGCAACTTCCCATTTCATCTCTAGCTGCAGATCTGATCTCTAGATTCTAGTCCGTCACCTCTGTCGAAGAAGGTATTATTCAATCAATCGGTCAGTCTAGTCCTCGTCATCAACGGCAGGCGGGGTGCTCAGATAGCCCTGGTCCTCAAGGTATTTGATAATGATCTTGACGCTGTCCTCGACTGTAGTCTTGTCGCTTCGGATATGCACTTCAGGCTTCAAGGGCTCCTCATAAGGGGCTGTGACGCCGGTGAACTCGGGGATCTTGCCCTCGCGAGCCTTCTTGTACAGGCCCTTCGGGTCGCGCTGCTCGGCCACTTCAACGGGGACATCGATCCAGACTTCCACGAATGGCACGCCCGGTTCGCCGCCGGGGCGCTCAGCCTCATGGAGCTTGCGGGCGAGGTCGCGGTCGGCGCGATAGGGGGAAATAAAGCTGGTGATGGCGATGGTGCACGAGTCAGCAAAGAGCTTGGCAACCTCGGCGATGCGACGGATGTTCTCCTCGCGGTCTTTCGGGGAGAAACCCAAGTCCTTGTTGAGGCCGAAGCGGATGTTGTCACCGTCTAGGCGGTAGGCATTCTTGTTGTATGGTTTGCGGATGAGGGCTTGTTCGAGGGCGACAGCGATGGTGGATTTTCCCGAAGCCGAAAGGCCGGTAAGCCAAATCGTCAGACCGGTTTGCTTGAGTAGCCCTGCCCGGATGGAAGGTGTCAGGGGCGTGGGGTGGTAATGGATATTGCTATTTGAGGGTGTAAGTACGGTGTCAGACATTTTTCTTCTCTCTTTATCTCTTTCTCAGTGAAGGGTTGTGCGGATTTTTGTTGGGTCAACCAAAGTTTTTCTCATAAGCAAATGACGCGAAACACAAAGCAAAATGGGCCCCAGGTCATGAAGCTGAGGGGGATGAGCATGGCTAGGATAACAATGACAGACATATCAAGGAAAAGTATCCCCGAGAGACTCGAGTCGAAATACAAACAAGGACACAGGAAAATGTCGTGCTATCATGTTGTGCGAACTGAGCAGAACCCAAGGAGGAGGACCTACGTTGCCATAGTTCGTAATGTGTTCCTGCACAGAGGACAAAATCTGTGGATCTCGTTCTTGGTCGACCAGGGGGACACCCTGATGCTGTAACCTCGTTGTAAACTTGAGTTGGGTCTGTTTACTCAGGAGGTAATATGCTGTTATATCAAAATCTCCTTCACCGCCGTCAGCTCGTGAGGCGTTTTCTGGGCGTTGCTTTACCTTCCGTTTTCGTTCAATTTTTCTGTTGATATCGGGAGTCGGAGCGCCAAGGTCTGCTAGTCTGAGCCCCCGAAGGCTAAGTCGCCGGTAAAAGGAGATGGTGGCCGCATGGGGGCCAAAAGAGATGTCTCCGAGTTCCTTTCCTCTCGATCCTTTCACGCTCCTCTGGAAGCGAGGTGTAAGGGTATCAGGGGGCCCTGGACCATACACACGGTAGTTTGCTCCATTCGATACTCTAGGTATGTACATATGTACACTGAAGGTGTGCTGATCGATGTGTTTGCTTCGTGTTGCCAACGCGTTCCGTGCCAGCGCCTCCGGACTAGCTGGGCGTTTTCTGTGTGGGTGGGAGCTCCACGATTTGCGGTCAACCTGGCATTCTTCAACACCCGTCATACTTGTCAACATTTCGTTTGCCGGCCTATTCATGTCGACAACCACTAGCCAGCTATCTAGGCTCGAAGGTCGTGCAGGGGGCAACGGAAGCAACGCCCGACGGATATGTGCAGTCAGTTCAACCACAAATGTCTGCATCCTTCACGGCCAGGTAAGCTCTGGATCTAGGATTTCCTTCGCGAATACCGATTTAATGTTCTCTCCTCGAGCATATTTTGAACTTGCTTGATCCTCTTTTGGTGATGTATCACCCTCGCTCGCAGGTGACCTCAGCGTAGTCGGCTTGAAAACGATGCCTCTTCCAACAAACACGACGACTTCTGTCTCAGAATACCTGATCTGCATCTTGGGGGAGATCGGATCTTGTGGAGGTGCGGTGGGTTTTGAGGCCCGCCAACGATGGCCCAGATCCAAGACCGATCTGAAGAGCTGTTTGCTTCCGTTCTATTTTGCGGGTATCAGGTAGTACCCTGGCCATTCGAGGGGATAATCTTCTGTTTGAGTTGGTTTGGTGATACAAACAACCTAAAAGGCTAAGCGAGGTCAGTCAGCCACCCTCTGAACTCTCCCAGTGTACTATTCGTGTTCCCAATGTCGGTTCTAGAGGAATCGAGGGTGGCATCGAATACGATGCAACCTAGCAATTCTTCAGGAGAACCTGGTAGGTATTCGTTGAGGAGTTGGGGCAATGCACGATGGCGATCGTCGAGAGTCAGCCGGATTTCACTACCACTGCCTGTGAGGTAGAGCCGCATTGACAATGCGACTGTGTTAGCGAGAAGGGGTGTGGCTGGTACGTACACGAGCCTCTACACGTTCTTTCAGACAAAGAAAAGCTGATTGACCAACAAGACAGGAAGTATGAGCCGCCAGATCCCCTTTGCATGCAACCTGTGCGACACGTCGCACCGTTTGTGAAGGACAGGCATGCCCTAGCCATAGCATGGGCCGTCCAGTACTTAGAGAGCAGGTCTCCTTCCTCAAGTTGTTTTCTTTGTTCCTGGAGTTTTCATCTGCCCGTCGCCTTTGCACCAATCAGACTGGCCGTGTTTGGATTCTGAACTTGATTGTTTTTTTCTTCCCCGTTGTTTGAAGGACTCTGATAAATGCTTGAGACTGTTGACAGTCAGCGGACAGCCACTGAACATTGTAATGCTCTGCAACAGTGTGATGATGATGGTTGTTGCGAGTGGGCAGGCAAGACTTGTCTGAGTTCACCGGTTGCTAGACTGGTCTGGCCGCGTCGGTATCAGAGGGAGACAGTGCCAGTGGATAGAGAGGGAGGAAGACAGATACTGGAACCGCGAGAGGGAGAGGACCATCGACAGTGGGAACCAAGTGAAGAGAAGACGTGGCGAGAGAGAAAAAAGCCTGCTCTCCAGTATCTGAAAGTGCAACTACAGCTGCGACTGCGGCTCCGACTGGCACAGGCTCACGGACAGCAACAGCAACAATCAATGGGCGCAGGCGGATTCTGTCTGCGATTCTGTCTGCCAGTCCCCTCGACTCTCACTTCACTCGTCGCATCAACACCAGCACTTCCTAGCTTTGGCATGAATAGACGCGACACTTTTGACTTTTGCATCACTCTGGATTTCACCTACCGGGTAATGTCCCTGCACCGTACCATTGACACCGCCATTCGAGCCGTCGACGACAATCAGGTGGCAAGTCACTTTCAATATCACATTCACCATCAAACTTTTCCACCCAATCCACCGCCCCTTCACCTGCTATAAGGTCGCCCGGCCTCTCTCCCTCCCCCTCTGCCGAAGTTGTCAGGTCAGATCCCTCCGTACACATCTCTCATTCCCATTATCAACCCCTTCAACAAACGCCTCTTCCCAGTTCAGATCTCGCGAAATAGACAAACAGGCGCAATCCCACCACTTGATCCCCAGCTCACACCTCTCAAATTCACTCCTCCTGGCCCATTCACAAAGTCGCGACAATGATTGCCTGGGAGAAAATCACCCAGTTGATTGTCGGGCGTGGTGAGTTTCTTCTTCCGCGCCAGATTCCAGCATTGCTTGACTTAGGCTGACTTCTGCGTCAATCAGCCGCCGCTGAGAAGAGCGAGCACAAGAAACTCGAGAAGAAATACAAGGAAGCCGAAACAGCTCTCAAACTCGTCACTGAGGTTGCTCCCGAGCCACTCCCCCAGTGTCTCAGCCGTAAGACCAATTTCACTCTTCTTCCCCATTAATCATGTTGCTGCTGGCTGACCGTGATTCTAGGACCTCCATCGGTCTACAGTGCTGCCATCTCTGCCATCTCTGAAGAAGCACGCAAGCCTCGTGAAGGGGTCCTGCGTACAACCCAACGACCCAACTACGAGCGAGCTTCTTCAACTCCTGCAGTGACCCATGTCACGCCTCGCAGGTCGCCATCAGGCCCACCAGACATTACCGCTCGCTCTCTCAGTCAAGAGGAATTGAAGCGGAACTACAGCTGTGACAGCTTCTGGGACACCAAAATTCACCCTCTCCCTCCCATGCCTGAAATGACCGGCTTCGGAAAATATCGCCGAGCTGTCAATGCCTCTCCAGAGTGGCAATTGGAACACCTTCACAAACACCTTTACGACATGAGCGACATAATTTGCGGCCATTTGGGCTCGCAGCCACCTGTTGGCTTGGATCCCGAGACCTGGAACCAATACAGAACTCAACACTCACGAACCACCAGCTTTGTCAGCTCCCGAAGCTCCACCACAGGCCTAGGAGTCAATGCAAGCACAGAATATCTGGACCCGGTCACTGGTACCAGAATCACCCGCGGATTTTCCGCTTCAACCACCTCGAGCGCAGCAAGCTCATTCAAAGAAGGCTCAATTTCCTTCCGCCGTGACTCCAGTTACTCCAAATCAAGCATGGCTAGCCCCATCTCCGATGGCGATGCAAGGGGCAGCCGAAGACCAAGCCGGAATTCCTCATACCATACCAGCATCACCTCAATGAGCCATTTGGCCGCCATCAGCGAAACACAAGAACCATTCCCCATCTTCGGTCGCAAGATCGAAAAACCCTGCGAGTTCGACGCTAACGGAAGCACTGAAAATGCAGTTGCTTCCGACGAAGACGACGAACTTGAGTGGGAAGACATGCTTGAAGTTGGCGGAGCCATCATCAGCAACCTCACTCAACGACTTGACCGAACATCATCATCTCGCACTATGCCGCACACCAAGTCCGCATTGACTCGCCCACGCACAAAGAGACAGAGATCTAACACTGTGCGCCGAGTTCACCTGGTGGACAACCGCCACTGATTACTACTTTCTACCAGCCAACGCACAAACGGACAGAGGTCCAAGATCCTGCGTTGACTTTATTTAGTGGACAAATTGCCACTAACTACTACTGTCAACCAACCAACGACTTTCCTTTTCTTGGGCTTACGACGAATGAGTCAACTGCATCACGACCTATACGCCCGTCTATAACGAATTTCGCATTTTCACTTTCAAGAAGGATATTGCTGAGAACAGTTCAGGAGTTCAGGCGTTCGGGAGTTCGGGAGTTCGGGATTCTCTGCTTGGGTTATTTCTTGGGAAGGACTCGGCAACATTGGGATTCGCTCGACACACGTGCAATTCCTTTCAGGTTTCACTATAAGACTATAACAAGTATAATTCCTTTTCTCGGGTGCTGGATTCTCGTTAATAGGAAGGACTATGTTGATAGTTTTTCTGATAGCCATTGCAATCAACAACAAATACAGTGGAATCATTGGAATCAATGTCCTCCGGTTTCTCTTGTAGTGTTGTCCTCACACAGCTGTCAAGACAGCCAGTTATCTTGTTGATGAGTACCGGCCCCTTTTTCAAAGCATCAAACTGAAGCTGAAGGTCCCGCTAGCTCTGGAGTTCGTTCGCAGAAAGTTGAAACGGACCCGACGATCTGACTCGGCACGGCCGCACGGGCCGGTTCCCCTACTGTGCACCTCTTTTGGAGAACGCAAAGTCGCCTGAATCAACACATCAACAGACCAACACACCAACACACCAACACGTAACTCATGACCACTTCATAAGTGGCTATGTAGTTTACAATCCAGTCCATGTCTATGTCAAAGCCAATGTTAGCGCCATCAGAGCAGACGAAGAAGAAACGACCGCTCTCCCCCCGGGCCGACAAAGAAGACACCACAACGGCCATTCCAGAGAGGGAGGAGCTAGCAGCCAGCAGCGCCGCGGCCACCGAGAGCAATGATGGGCCGATCTTCGTCTCCGCGCCGGTCCATGATCGCCAGTCCACGTTCGTGGCGCACTTCCACCCCTCGCCGTCTGTGTTCGCGAAGCGGCAATCCGCGACTGGACCTGGGTCGAAGCCGCTCTCGTTGACAGCGATCGTCAAACGGCTTCAATCACACGCGTCGTTCGCGTCTGCGAACCACCGCATTGTCGCGTGGCGGCGCCGATCCAGCCAGCAAACGCTCTTCACTGCCACACCATCATCACCGTCACTGTCATCTACTCATTCTTCTAGCGCTCTTCTTGCCTCGGCGGGTGCCGGGGCAGGAGGACAAGGAAAAGCCGTCATCTATGCGACAGGCTCGGAGGACGACGGCGAGAAATACGCCGGCAAGCGCCTCGAGCGGCTCCTGGCCGATCTGGACGTCGAGGGCGTCGTCGTCGTCGCGCGCTGGTATGGCGGCGTGTTACTCGGGCCTGTGAGGTTCACGCACATCGAGGACGTAGCCCATGAGGCGATTCGGGCGTGGAAAGTGAGCATTACTGACAGCTTGTTTTCGGACGGAGGACTGTCCAAGAGGCAGAGACTTCTAGGTTCCGACAGTGGAGGAGGAGCGGGCGATGTTGCGACGAGAAGAAATAATGATGAAGATGCCATCAGATCACGTCTCGCGGAGCAGCTTGCCGAGCGGGATCAAAGCATCGTCGTACTGAGAGGGCTGTTGGCCGACAAGACCAAGGCCGCGTCCACGACAGTGGACGAGCCGCAGCCACAATCACAGCCGGCTCAACAGCAATCTTTGACGACGTCGACTTCGCCGGCCAAGAAGATCGATTACAGCGAGATGCCGCTGGCGAGGCTGAAACAGCTGGAAAGGGCACGAGACGCCACGATTGCCTTTATCTTGAGGCAGTTGGACAAAGTCGAGGAAGAGGAGAAGGCAAAGGAGAAGGACAGCCAGAAGCAAGGAAGAGACGTCCCCAGTGCCGATATAGAGACTGTGACACGAAGGCAGGGTGAGCAGGGCGTTGAGGGTGTCGACGAGGACCGAAGCGCATGAGATACGGCATTGGAAGTCTTTGGACAATCAAACAACATCGGAGAAGGGCACATCACAATGACAAGAATTGTTCTATGGGATATGGAGGCGCGCTGTTTGGACATTGAGCGAGTTCCGCTTGTTCGGGCGCACTGGGTAAGCACGTCGCTCGATCCAATGCACATATCACGCCGATACGGACACATCCTCCTGGCCACCAACGTAGCCGACTCCGCTGGCCCGGCTGCTGGCAGGGGTAAGCGCGTTTTTCTCTGCTTCCTCCTCCTTGAACTTCTCAACCACCATCTTCCTGGCCAGTTGTTGGTAATCTGCGAAGCCACATGATGTCAGTCACCATATCCGACATGGCATGTCCATAAGGAAGGTAAACGACGGGTAGGTTGTGGTGGTTCGAGAGTGGGTGAAGGGAAGTTCAGGAACACAGAGCCAACTCACGCAAGACACCACTCTCCTTGGCCTGATTCAACACCCCTTGCGAATACACTCCTCTCTCCAAATTACTCTGGGCGACCTCACACAACTCAAAGTCCTCCAGCGCCACCTTCCTCACAAACTTGAAGTAGTCTTCGAACCCTTCCATTCCGCCCTTCCCGTCGTCGAAGTAATAATCAAACTCCATGCGAGTTTCGCCAACCTTTTCACTCGGGCAAACACGGAAACTGCTCATACCGCCACCGTATAGATTCAGAGTACATACGGGAAAGAAGAATAGGAAAAGACCGTCGTTGGGCTTTTGCGGGTCGGCAATGTGCCGGCTATATGTGTCGTGGTTGTGTACTTCGTAGAAGGTAGGCGGGTATTTGACACTGAAGCTGCGGTGCGTGTATTGACAATGCAAGCATTCTTGATATCCGTCAACCATGGTCTTCCAGTTGAAGCGACCGGGGTATTTGATGGAGCGGCGGTGAGGTAGCCGGCGGAAGTTGTATCGAGATAGAAGTTCGAGCAGAGATGGTGGGAACCATTGCTCGAATGGCGGCGCAGATCGGTCGATGGTGGTAAACAAGCAACCCGTCGGGGTCAAGCGATGGCTGAGTGAGACCCCCTGGAAGATGTGAGACAATATTACAAAAAGAAATCAAACAGGAATGAAATGGTGGCGAGCATACATCGGATTTCCTCTTCACCTCAAAGTTCTCGTTCCCATCATGTCGGACAATGATGGAGACGCCCGCGAATTCGTACTCGACTTCCCGTTCCACTGCAAACCGAGGGACAGCTCCAACGAAGTACCAAGCTTTATAAAAGATGGCTCGTTGTTCAAGCGAGTAAAGATTTTGTGAAATATACCACGAGGCCGGCAGTGTTTTGGTTGCATCCATTGCTGAAATAGGGCTTTTTGCTTGACTTCGATGTTCCTAATAAGCAAGGGCGTCTGTCGACGGCGTTATGTCTTCCTCGCAAGAAGCATCATTGACAATTCCAGCCGTTGGAAGGATATAACATCCGCAGCAGACCGGCCTTTGACATTGAATTCCAAAAGAGGCATTCGAATACCGACCGAATGATGGACCTTGCTATATGGTCCACCCGTGTTCCTATTCGCGCAAAAGGGAAAAATGGGTGCCCATAAGAGTCTCGTCATTATTCATCGCTGGGTGAACAATTTCCATGTGCTAACATCTCACTGGGCTGATGTTGGCCGTGTGGTTCGAGGGGTACTTCCGCAGAAGTCAAAGTCGAGACGCGAAGGAGGGTGGGTTGATTCTTGCGGGATCGTATTGCCCAGTTGAGCCATGGCGTTTTCCCCTGTGACCAAAGAGTGCGTCAGCTTTGATATCATGGCGAGTAATTGACGACTCAGAGTATAATTGGTATCGGATCCGAGGGTGGATGGGGTACAATCACCTGCATCGATCAAGATAATTGGCCGCCTCTCTAGTAGCTTTCGGGCAACGCATCCTCCCTGCTGAAATGCCTCTTGGGTCCAAACGGGCAATCCGGGTCCACGGTCTCGTTCGTATTCATAAATGACGATGCCCGTCTTGTTGGACCCAATATCAATATCACCGTGGCCCAGACCCTTCTAGCATGGCCGTGAAAGTAATCCAGAGCCATTTGGGCTCACTGAGCTCTCCATTCTCCATCTATGTTTTCATCGCTGCTTGCATTGTTTACCTTGTCGGACGTCTCCTGTTGAGCTTCGTCCATGATGATCGGAAATCCTTTGCTCCTGGTTCAAGTCTTGACCAGGCCGAGAAGGGCAGTTTGAAGAAGCAGGAGAATATGTCAGATGACGAAATCTTCCAGTTGGAGAAAAGAGCATTCTTCAGCAAGGTAGTCAATTTCATTTCTTTGCAACGCCGTCAGCTTAGACCAGGACTGACTGATTTCAAGACGTGGCTTTTTGTTTGTCACCGTAGCAGGTTCGACAAGCCTGGGGACTATCATGCGTATGACGTTGCCGGCATCTCGTTCTTCGTCGTCCTCAGCAAAGACTTGAAGCTGCGAGCTTTCCACAACGTCTGTCGACATCGTGCATATACCGTGGTCCGCAAGTCATGTGGTAGTTCGACGCGGTTTTCATGCAAGTACCATGGTTGGCAGTATGATGACAAGGGCGCCTTGGTCAAGGCTCCAAAGTTCGACGAATCGCCAGGATTCGTACTGGAAGACAATGGCCTGTTCGAGATCAAGTTGATAACGACCAGGGAGGGTTTGGTGTTCGTTAACTTTGACGCAAGCACCATGAATCTTCCTTTCAATAATGTCAAGTCTCACGTGGATCTTGGGAGCTGTTCTTGGGTGGATGCAAAGGAAGTAACCTGCGCAACGAATTGGAAAGATATCGGTAAGTAGATCTGAAGCTTGCGCCGCCCAGTCTCTGACATGGTTAGCAAATGAGTTCTCCAATCAAGCTCAATGGGCGCAGAATCCGTTTGAGTGGCTTTCTGTACTTCGCAAGTCCAAGGTTGTCAGACTCCTTGGCCCACTGAGCATTATCAAGGAACTAGACAATGACCTATGGTGCACGATGGTGCTTCTGCCACGGTCAACTTCGGAAGTCATTGTTAGATGCGACTTTTACGTCAAGGAAGGGCACGCAGCTCCTGCAAAAGTTGTAGAGAAGTCGAAGTGGATGTTGGAGCAAGAGCTACTCAACCTGTCCAAACCAGATGAAGAAAAAAGCTCAACGAGATCCTCATATTTTGCATATCAATGCGGAGGTAAGTGAGGGCTCCCAAGCACAACAGAACCGCTTGCTGACAGTGGGGCAGGCCGCACGATTGACTTGTTTGCGATTCTTGCTCAGCATCAACGGAACGAGAAGATGGCCAAGAGAAAGCTGCAACCAGCGATCAGGGTGACCGGCACAGACGATATTGACACCGAAGCCGAGGCCTTATGCGATGCCCTCGAAGGGGTAGCCGACTCGCCTTCCTTGGAGAAATGTTCCCGGATTTCCAGCTTTCCTCAAACACTAGAGTGGTGATTTCCGTCAGGAAATCGCGAGATGCATGCTGTGGGTAGAAAAAAGCACTGAGGGATGCGTTGATTGTTTCGACGACTTAATCTGTACGCTGTAAATGGACGAGATATCGCCGGTTAAGCAGTAGCTGGTGAACTAGAGCTCGGGGCGCTAGGCGCGAGACTCATAGAGCTTGCTATCATTATGTTGACGCGACATTGAGTCTGTTTGGCGTATGGAGGAGCTGTTGGGTTGAGGAATTTATACCTAGGTATGGTGTAGCGTCTGGTGCACTTGTGTGTGTCGTGAAATGAGAGGGAGCCAGGATAGATATTCTTGCCTCTAAAAAACCAGTCTCTCGTTCTGGCCATATTATCTGTAGAGGATGTGACTTGGTCGCTATCAGAACGAGGGTGCCCTTGTATAATAAAGGATATTCCGTTTACCTTTAGAAATAGGGGTGCTCTATCCTTCACCTACTGTTAGTGTCTTTGACACAGGGGCCACTTCGCTGTTTTTGAACTCTCTCAGTCATGTTGGGTACATCATCCATTGTATACCAGCGTCCTACAGATTCATCTTCTTTTGTCGCCGGTATTGCTTCAGGGGCAGGTCGTCCACCTGCGAGAGCCTGAACGGATCTTTGTGACCTCCTTGTAAGCTTCTGTAGAATTAGCCTTGAATACTGCCGTAAACTGCCGATCCCTTCCGTCAGGGAGTCGTTCATTGTTTCCTCAACTGTCTTAAGGCAGTTAGCAGTGTAGGGTGATGGCGTCGCCCTTCAGACACCTGGGTGACTCCTTGAGTACGTCCTGTTCGTGTTCTATTACCGTCATAGCATGGCATCGGTCAGTGAAGAGTATGATCGTCCGCTACGTCCCAAGCCATGACGTCCTTTGGTGTGAGTTGGCTTCGTCCCAAGCACCGAGCCTGGTATCTCGAAAACAGGGTATGCTGCGGAGGGATAGCCCAGAAGTGTGGCATGCCCGGAAGTCTTCTGTCTCTTTGACTAAGGAGATTTAAATCCGCCTGCGAAGTGGAGAGGCTTGTGTCGTCCGTCGTCGCAATGGTGATGGTGATGGCGACGTGTTTGTTTACAGAAGCATCAGCGACGAGAAGAGCATTCCTGAAAAGCGGCGGTACCTAGCGCCAAATTCGGCAAGGATTTTCCCTGCCCTGTAAGAGGGGGCCAAGGGCGGCGTCACATTGTCCCCAAAAGCGGGACGAAAGTCTTGGCCGACGTCTTCTTCTGCCACGTACTGACCTGACCGCAATCAACGCAAATCGTTTCGTTCTTGTTCTCCCTCCCACCACGATCCCTTTAACCCACGCGCCCGACACAGTCCTGCACCATGTTCAAGAAGGAGTATGCACATATCCTCTCGCAGGAAGTGAAGACCAAAAACTAACCCGGCATCACGCAGCTTGTCGGCGGGCGCAAAGTCCAAAGTCAAGTCCTCGGTTCAGCGGGGCATCAGAGCCAAAGTGCTCGAGACGTACCCGAACCTCGAGCCATACATTGACGAGATCATGCCCAAGAAGAGCCAACTGGATTTGGTAAAATTGTGAGGCCCCGTCGCTAGCCATACTCCCCTCCCCACATTTCATTGCAATGGGAGTTCAATAGAGTCATCACTTTTTCGACTTATTCCCGCCACAGGAGGTCTCTTCCGCACACGTCTGTATAACGGCGACAAGCAGAAGAATTTTGACCCTTGTTCCCTTTCATCCCCCTTATCGCTCACAACTCCTCCTTCTAGACCCGACCGTGTCTCCCTCTATGTCCTCGACGACCACCCCCTCTTCTATCAACACATGGATGACCCTATCATCCCCCACCTGAAACTGGTCCACCAATACCCGCAATGCTTCAAACACCTACGCATCGATCGGGGCGCAATCCGTTTCGTCCTCTCCGGGGCCACGTTGATGGTTCCCGGCCTCACCTCCGCAGGAGGTTGGTTACCCGAAAAGGACCAGGAGGTGAAAGCGGGGGAAATTGTTACTATCACAGCAGAAGGGAAAGAAGAAGTATGTATGATTGGAATCTTAGAGGTAGGGACCGAGGAAATGAAGGCGAAGAAAAAGGGCGTGGCCATGAGCGCGGGCCACTATCTGGGGGACGGACTGTGGAAGCTGGACCTGAGTTGAGTAAATGAAATAGGACAAAAGATTGATTGAGACGGAGAATCGAGAGTCTTTCCAATACAAGACTTGTTGACAAACAGGAGAAAAGGGGGTTTCTGGGGTTCACTGCCGCTCGAAAACAGATATGAGTCTACATTCCAGGGGCACTTTGAGGAGCGATGGCGGGCCCTGCAGCACGAATGCTAGCCGGCTGTATTCGGGGAGGCATGCTCCGTCGCGCTGATATAGTCGAAGAAGGCGGCTGGCCAGCGAGGGAAGACATCACACGTCGGCACAGTTGTCGACTTGAAGCCTGATGATTGAGAACAACACAAAGTTGGCAACCTGATGGACCCGGCCCCCGCAATTCATCAGACGCCAATTGATCACGAACCGAACGAAAACACCTACCTGAGTGCTGTAAATCTGGAGTATGTAGCACTCACATTTGGCTGCTGCGCACCAAGGGCCTTACATTGTGTGTACAGTCTACATTTCAAGTGCTGTCGATTACAATGCATGTAATCCGTAGTAGTCTACAATGACACTAATTCTGCGGGGTTTCACAATTAAAACCATTTTTCAATCAATCACCTATGATTTCCTGGTCTCGTGATACTGTGTACAAACTTTTGTCTTGCCCTCGCTCATTGAAGTGGATGGACTCGGTGTGTTTGTGGAAAAGCTCGGAAAGGACTCGTAACACAGCGCATCATCTTTGACCGCCACTGAACTAGCTGCCCCTTTCTGACATGCAAATGTTTGTTGCCTTAATCCCCTAACTTTCGGTTCGGTAATGGGTGGCCTCAATCCAATACTGACTCGTCGAGGTGTCCCTTTGATCGAATGAGTGTCTGCCTGCATTTCTGTTCCGAATGTCAGACCCATTGGAGCATGATCTTGTCGCCATGTAGGGGCAGGGCACCCTTTCCGGGTCGTTACCTCCTCTCCTCTCCTTTACCACTCAACTAGTGCTTCCATGACCATTTTCTAGCCTCTCCGCCTCCATAGCTCCGCCCTCTCCGCCCTCTCCGCCCTCCCTGCCCTTCCTGTGAACACTATAAGAAGGTCTATGCAAGAGACATAACAATGCCTTCAAGTGAGAAAGTGAGCCATTACTCTGAAACAATGGAAGAAAATGTGCTGAGCAACCGCGATATGGTATCTCAATCATAATTGGTCGTGGGGTGATCCCAAAGGGGATCCTGAAGCCGAATTCAATGCGCCGCTTGTGGTACTTGCATATGCCATTGAATCCTGCTGAAAGGTGCTTTTTTTTTCTCTGTCCCATTCATTCGGATTGACTCCTGGTGTGTGTTTGGAAAATTGTGGTGAAAATTGCTAGTCGATGACAAAACTCGTTCCCTTTCGGTTTTCCCACATGTCACACATCAAGCAATGTGACGGGATGGATGAATGATCATGTGCATTGTACAAGAATCTCGAGTCAATGTCGGTGAATTTGTTGGGTACCGGTAGCTCGAGCAGGTGAAATGAATCATTTTCGAACGATAAAAGATCATGGCAACGATGATCTCAGGTAGTGTGTAATCTGACAAATGCCATTATGAGGTTGGCAGTATTCATTCAGCGACTGAAGTGGTTTTCTCAGTACATTTTGCAGGATGGCAAAGATGAGCAGAGATACGTTGCTGATTACAATGGCATCATAGCGCATCGGAAAGCGCGACGCAAAGCAGGCATTTGATTCTCTTAGCCACTCTTATCGAGTTCGGCTTTTTCCTCAACAGTGAGGATGTCACCGAGTCTTTTGATAGTTTTCATGTTTGTCGCTCCGTTGCGCCAAGCAGCTCGCAAGGTTTGGAAAATGAGACGTTTATCGGGGTTTTCTTCCCGATAAAGAGTGACCATGTCGGAGGCAATACGTTCACTGATCGGAACAGGTGCTGATAAGAGCTTGCCAAAATAGCGCACAAGGTGCAACATGCCGCTATCATTGCCTTCTTGCAAATCGCCGGCGGCAGTTGTTTTAAATTCCTGGTACATGCCGACATTGAACTTGTCAACAAGGAAATCAGTCCAGAAATTGTAAAGAGGCTCTAGAGCCCCTTCCACTCCCATATGGCGCTGCTGGAATGCCATGTCATGGAGTGATAAATAGGTCTGGTCAAACTGCCCTGGCTGGGGAGGCGGCAGTTGGGTTTCTTGGCCGTCTTTGGTGAAGTAGATAATGTTCTCATCGCCTGTTGGAATAGTGTACGGAGCGCCGAAAGATAAGCTGCGGTACTGCTCGAGCCTTGTCCGGCATTAGTGCTATAGTCGTGATGGCGATCGAAAAGACTTACTGCTGTGGACTACTCGCTCCGCCGCGCAAACTCGGGATACGAGCTTGGTTCAGGTCCAGTGGCACATTGTTGCCTTCATTCTGTCCACTAGAAGATCCAGCAGAAGGGATGCGAGCAATACCGGGGAAAGACGGGGCTGCGCCATTGAGAACGCTTGGTTGCATGCGGATATTGACATTCGGGATCTGCTCATCTGGGAAAATGTTGTCCTCAATGTCGGCGCGGGAACTTTGTCGACGATGACCATTGACATTGTTGCTCAGGGGCTCCGAAGTATGATGCTGAGGGGATTGCACAGCAGCTGGAGCAACATGCTGGTAAGATACGAGCGACGGCCTCTCTGTTCCATCGCTAGAACCATCTTCGAATGGACGGACGAGCGGCTCCCCGGAAACCTGGCTCTCCGTTGGCAGCACAGGAATATACGACATCGGCGAACTTGCGTGGAATGTTCCATTGCTGGAACCCACGGTCAGCTGCGGACTACGCAATTGACCGAAGGCAAAGGATGGATCATGTAGACCGACCTGGTCTGGGGGTGCTGTGCGATTGTAAGAATCAGGGTTATGCAAAGGGCCTTCATTGCGGGCTGATTCAAATCTCTCCTCCACGGGAAGAACGAAATCACGCCAGCCTTCGCGACGACGGAGTCGATCATCCCCATCAGTCCCCGGCAGGAACTCCACACTCTTCACTTGCTGGCAGACATAACGAAGGTTGTCCATGGTCATGTTATCCTCAGTAAGGGTCTTGATACGCTTGAAATTAGCGATAACGCTGAGTGGGACGTAACCTTGACCGTCCATATGCTTCCTCAGAAACAGATCCTTACAAAGGTTGTCAATCGAGAAGTAGTACTCGCTATAGGCTGTGTTAGTGGACGGGCGCATTTGGGAGGTCGATGGTTTGTGGACACTTACATCTGGGTCATAACCATTGACAACAAAGCGTACGAGTTAAGCGGATCATTGTACGGCATTGCACTCATGATACTCGGTTGCATCTGCATTTGTGAGGGGTAACCATAGATTGACATGTCGGTCTGAATGGTCGGAAGACCTTGTGGCATGGCCGGCATGCCATTGAAATAGCCTGTGAACATCATCCCGACAGGGATGGACTGCGAACGTGGGTTTGTGCGCGATGTGTTTGATGCTTGAGTGGGCACAAAAGGCTGCGACGCTTGCCTTGAGCGAGTCTCAGTATGCGAATTAGATCTTGACGGCGGTTCGAATCCATTTTGCGGAAGAGGCGATGTGTAAGCATGAGCTGAAGTGAACGGTGGGTTGTAGTTGTTGTTGCCCCGGCCCCGAAAACCACGTCCGCGCTCGGATCGAGGCTCACGTCGATTGCTCTGATCACCAGAGGCCTCCCGGTCCCGCCAGGATTCAACTTTCTCGCGAGCCGATTCAGGTTTGTCCCTAGGCCAGTCTCGGTTTCTGCCAGAGCCGCGGTCTCTGCCAAATTCACCCGTGCTTCGTGCTCCGCTTGTTCCGGAAGCTTTGTAACGGTCATAAGTGAATGAATAGCGAGCGATGGGTTCGCTAGTCTGGTTGTAAACGCCAGTCGACTGTTCGACTGAGGTGTTTCCTTCTCCGTTGATCGTCCGACCGCCAGGGTTCCCAGTGTGTCTTGAAGAAGACCTGGAGCTGTGATCAGCCATTGGGGTTTGGTCCTCAAGAATTTGCTGAGGTGCAGTTGGGTTCGTTGAGCCATTTTCTGTTGCTGGTTGGTCCTTGGTGTAAGCCGCGGAAGACTTCCAAAACGCAGAGTTTCTATCTTCACCACTTGTAGGTCGAGTGCTGATAGTGGGAACGGATGCACCGCGTGCACCACGTTCCCCTTCCGGTCTACGGCCGCGGTCTTGTTCGCCAGACTGTCTTGGTACTGGAGGTGGCCCCATTGAGGTGGTCCCGTCTTGCTTTTCTGCAGTAGAACCCACATAGCCACCCCCACGACTGCCGGCATCTCTTCCCCTTCCACCCACTCTTCCGCCTCGTCGCGCCGCCGATGGTGGAAGCTGCGTTTCGAACTTTGCTGTTGGAACGAACGGAACGGCGACCCATTTGTTACTGTGGGATTTCTGAGAACCGGGTTTGACGTCCAGCTTGTCCGTCTTCTCAAAGGAAGCTGATTTGCGTCGTTCTTCAACATTCGAATTTTCGGGGGTTGGCCATGACTGCGTGTCATCTACCGGCGGCGGCGCGTCAGAGTCGCCCTTTTCGCCATGCTGAGAAGCAGGTCTAGAGGAACGAGCTGACGGCATATCTTTCCTGTTGACGGCTCTGGCGCCATCGACGTTCTTGCCTTCTTTCTCAGAACCGCCAACATCTTTGCTGAGAGACTTCCGTTTAGGATCTTCACTGCCAGCTTTGGGCTTTGGTTGTTGATTAGGGGTGATGGAAACTGAAGCTCGTTGCTGTTCCAACCCTTTCATCTTTGCGGCTTGAGCTTCTATGCGTACTTGCCAAACGTTGACCGTTGGGATAGGGGCAGCTTTGTATTGTGTCTCCGCACTCATCGAAGGTACCGAGACCTTCTCCCAGTCATCTTCGCCATCCTTGGATTTCTTTTCAGTGGCGGAAAGAGCAGATTTGTCGTTTGAGGTAGAGACAGGCGGCTCTTCTGAAGACAATGATCTTCCATTGGGAAGTTGTGGTACAGCATCACGTTTCTGTTGATCTTGGGTTGGCACAATATTGGGAGTTTCGACATGTGCCACCGGTGACGTCTGAGCGTTACTGTATGTCGCGACATGCTGAGTCTGCGTTGTGCCTTCTTTGTCTGCTTCTTCTTGGGTTGACTTGGATGCCGAACGCTCTGCTTCTGGCGAAGACTTGAATGCAGCGCCTTCCCCGCTCGATTTGTCCTCAGGTTCAGATCTCGGTCGAGGAGATTTGAGTGTGGAAGTTGTATTAGTCGTTTCAGTCGCGGACCGATCTTTGACACTCTTGTCAGAGGCCGCGGGGCTTTCGTTCCTCGACGCCGACTGGGTTGAAGCTGTCGATGTGAGGCCCTTTGCGGCCTGTGCATATGAAAAAACTGGCGCTGCTGCGCCTGAGGAGGATGCCATTCTCACGGACAATACTGATAAAAACCACACTACACCTCCTGTTCCACTTCCACAATACTAAACCCCTCACCAGCAACAAGCTGGCCGCAAGATAGAGAGCCCAGTATTAGCTAGGTGACAATTGCGGCAGTAAGATTTCTTTCGATTCGCGTCTTGTGGCTTTCCCTCTTGTTCGTTGCTGGACCTTGACTGCACGATGACCAGTGACAGATGGGTGAGGTCAAGGGCAAAGACTCGGCACGAAACTTTCCTAACCAGGTCCGTGACAGCCAATTGCAGAGGCGTTGGAAAAATACCCTTGCTTCTGCGAAGGATGATCCCACAGTATGAGCCTAGCAGCCCACCTGTCTCGCCGTCAACCTGCCTGTTTTTAGACTCCGCAGCTGACCTGGCGCAGTATTCCACCGGTGTGTCCTCTGCCGGCTTTTGGCTATTCGATTCTGCTGCGATACCACAAGGCCACGGACTGAGCCCTTCAGGAGAATGTCGCGGTTGTTTGTCGGCCAGGTTATGGTGACTTGGCAGAGCGACCGAGGCAAGCCTGGAAATGCAGACCCGGGACCGTGACGGCAGGATGTCACTGTTCGATCTCGAACGAGATTTCTTGTCGACAGGAAGAAGCGCGGATGATCCGGTTGACGTGAGAGGGAGAGACCACGCACGGCCTAAGACGTACAACTGTCGACCGCGGCTGTTACAGGTGGTCGGGGGGATGAGCTGATGCGGCCCAAAAACTTTTGAGTGGGAGTCAAAGCGGAGTCCTTGGTCCCGGAATTTTCAGCGCCAGAAGCGCACGGGCAGACGAGAACGCTGGACAAGAACAAAGGGGCGAGGTTGGGGGGTTGAAGGGACGACGAGATGGAGAGGAGATGGAGGGAGAAATGTGTGTGTGGGTATTGAAGAGAAGTCTTTTTCGTGGAGAGTCAAGCTAAGGTCTGAGTGCTCAGTGAACTGAATTTCGATTTTCCTAGCGCGGCATTTTGCGAGTCGGGCCAGTGACGGGGCTTGAGGAGTTGGTTCCGACCGACTCATGAGACTCTCTGTTAGACTCTCAATCTTCACTGAGGACAGCAGGCAGGGCAGGGCTAGGTGTTGGAATCACCGCAAACAACCGAGAACAAGTGAGGGGCTCTCTGCTGCTATTGTTGTTGCTGGCTCCTACGCCTTTCGTCCCCCGATTATTCTCACTGCCACTGCTGCTAGTTAACCACGTCCCGCCTCTGCCAACGACTGCCAATGACTGTCAAGACTGAAGCCTGACGGCTTGCTGCGTTTGCCTGCGGTTCCTCTGCTCCTCACGCACTTCTTGTTCGAACCCCATCCCCATTCGCAATCCCGACTGCAGCCCATTGGAACTGTAGGATCAATGCGGCTTGGCTTCATATCCTCCCCTGCCACGACTGCTAGCACCCTCACCAATACGAAGTCCCACCCACCCAGAGTGCCGTTCGAGCGTGGTGGTTGAGGTCAATAGAGTCATGAGCTGGTCTGGGGCACGGCGGCACATAATCCTACACCGTACACACGCAAAACAAAGGAAAGGACGTGTGCCGCTCTTGGAGTTCGAGGCTCATTGGACCTGTTACGTTGTGGCTCTTGACCTTGACCTCCCTATGCCCGTGAAGACGGGTCAGCGGATAGTAAACGCCTGATTTCGACGTGCCTAACGGTGATAGGTATCTGATAGAAACAAAAAAGAGAATCTCTATGTCTACCGCTGGAACATCCCTCAACCCTTCTCTGCTCGCAGTTCTCCTCGTCATCCAAGGCCGAACCGGTTCGGGTGCGGAAATTGTCTTCCATTACCCTCCAGACCCTCTGTCGGCGGAGCGACCTTCTTATGCTTCAGAGTCGACGGATGAAGATGACAGAGAAAGTTCCAGCAGTGGTTCGGAAGAATCATCCTCGGAGGAGGATTTTGACTTGTTCACGAGACGGCTTGGGAATGTGATGACAGCAACGCAGAACCAAGACAACCAGTCACAACATTCTGACGACGAGGACAGCAACTATCTGAGCAAGAGAGGGACACAGGACAATGGACAATGGAAGCCTTCATGGGAGCCGCTCCTTGGCCTCGGAGAAGATGGGCTGGTCAGCTTGCTAGCTCCCGGTCGCGCCTGGCATAAACGCAGGTTTGAGCTAGGCATTAACGATCTCACCTTCTTAGGTCGACCTGTCTATGCTCGTGAGGATGGTTTCTGGCGAAAACCGAAGCTGAAGAGGTCAAAAACAGTTGAAGATGAGGGCCTTCCCTCGGAGGCTATGGCCAGTGATAGTGCCCTGGATGAGGAGGGCGACGGCGACGAAGCTGCGCCGACTGACCGCGACAACAAACAGGATTGCCATGCAAAGGAACATTCAAAAAGCCAGTTGACCATGTTTCACGTTGTGTTTGTCATGGACCCTCCGCCGGTGGAGCATACAGCTCGGGTCAAAGAGATGTACGACCATGTTGTGAAAAAGTTCTCCAAGGTGCTCAAGTGGGCACAATCACATCATGATTATGTCTGGGAACAGTCTGAACTGCTGCAGTCTATCAGGTCGAGGCATTTTCACCAACAATCGTCTGCAAAGGTGCTATATACCGAAATGAAACAGCGTTCTCCTTTGGCTGCTGCCATTGCCAAAGTGTTCGATAACATCTCCGCCTCCAAAATAGCTGCAATCACACTCAGTCACAAATTGTCCGTGTCTCTCCAGATTCCTCCTGTCACGTCGACTTCTTATCTTCCGTCTCTGTCTGAACCTCCACTACAGCCAGGATTATGGCTCACCACGGCCACGGATCCCTCGTCTACGGCCTCAGATCTGGACGCCACTTCTGCAGGCCCATTACAGCTATCCAAGAACTTCACTCTTCTACTCAAATCGAGCCCGCAGAAGATCCTCAAGGACATCCAAGCGGCGGGTGGTTCATTAGCAATGCCGTTGACCAACTTCATTGGACACTTGAAACCGACCAAATCCTTCTACAAGATATCGATTGCGTCCCAAATTGCTTTAGGTGACATTCAACATCTGGCTCGTCACCTTGTTTACTGGCGGAGGGCCATAGCGATTCCACCGCTGCATCAGCGCGATACATACATCGTATCTCCAAACGCCAACATGAACAAGCTGATGTCAGCTTGCAAAACATATGAGGCGAATTTTCCTATGATGCCGTCTCTGCCGAAGATGCTGAACGCTTTGAGCGGTACTCCTGCCCCATATGGTACTCTCATTCCCAGCAGAGACCATAAGGAAGAATACTACCGAGTTCTTGCCTGGCTCATGCGCGACGGCTGGGTAACACAGCTCCGGACATTTGCGTTTATCCGCGTGGACCCAGAAGTGAAGAAAGCAGTACGTGAAAAGGAGCGTGAAGAATCCAAGGGCCCGAAAACTCCCGTTATTGAGAGGGAAGCAAGCGAGCGTGACCGAGATGCGGCGAGGAGCTTTGGTAGTGGCACACCAAACACCATTGCAAGCGGAGCACTTTCATCTTTCAAGCAGCGTCCAAGCATGGTAAGCCGCCCATCCAGTGACGGGCGACAATCCATTTCCACCGACCGCAACAGCGTGCGCGGCAGCGGGCAACAGTTCAAACACAATCCCAAAGCCGCAAGCCTCATTATCTCCCCTCAACGTGCCTCACCCGAAGAGTCTCGGTGGCTCGACTATATTGCATCCACAATCAGCTCTTCTCGAAGCACCTCTCGGGCAGCCTTGTCCCCATCGCCGGCTTCATCATCATATCCGGAGGCCGAAACTGCAGAATTACGGCACTATTGGCCCGTGTTTGTGAAATATTTCAGCGGGTCTGAGCCTCTCGAGAGGATTCCTGTCAGGGAAGGCCTGAAGAGGAAGTTTGTCTGGGATATATTGGAAAAGGTGGGATTGGATTTCGACGGCGGAGTGGAGGACGAGAAGGGAGAGAATAAGAGATTGTTGGTTACAATTCGACACTGGTAGGAGTGGTTTTTTTTCTCTCTAGTCATGCGTTTGGCGTATATGGATGAAGTCCAAAAGAAACAGAGGGGAAGGGATTACAATGTCAGATCAACGAAAGGGGACCACCCGTTCCGGGAGAGCAATTCGACGGCGCAATCGTGTAATACCAGACACCAGGGTAAGTTGACCTCACCAGCCATCCGAGATATATGCTGAGTCTATCGATGTAGGTATATTCCACGTTCCATCTCTAACATGTGGTCTAAATCTAAATCTAAATTTAAGTCTAGGTCTAGGTCTAAGTCGGGTATGTTGTCTGTGTGTAGCATCCATGCGACAGCCTTCGAAACACCGCATCCCCCTTGGTGGTCTCGAGACCAGCCGTCATTCAAAGACATGTAATACCCGCTGCCAAAACCAAAATTTAAAATAAAAAGGGCAAAATAAGTCGAGACAGGCAACAAAGGCCAGCAGAGGATAGGAAATAATGTTATGGTAGCAGAGTCCCTGATTAGAGACACAAGAGGCCTAATCCAGGCAGGTCTTGGACTCCCAGCCGCACTCGGATCTCCTCTTGACGGACAGCCAGAAAGACAGTATGTACGGAGGACATACCTACAACTTGGACGTCCTGGCCGTTGCATTCGTCTTGCTCAATGCCACCTTCACCTGCGCGACCGCGTGGTCGTTGTTGCTGCCCCGACCCACAGGGTCTCGTCTCGCTGCGGACGCGGTTGGGGCGTCGCTCTTCTTCGGAGCGCTGCGATATCCGCCATGGATGTTCTCGTCGTTGAGCACCGCGCCGGACTGGGGGTCGCGCCGGATGCCCAGCTCCAGTAGCTTGGCGAAGACACGCGCAAAGTCGGTGAAGAAGAGCTCCTTGTCGGCCGCGTACCGGTCGACCCAGACACGGAACTGCGCGTCCTCGAGCAGGGCCATGTCCGTGGGCAGCATCATCAGCTCCTCGGCCCCCTCCACCTCCTCGTCGCCGTCTTGCGCATCGTCGTCCACATACACGTACTGCACCATCCCGTTCCGCAGGGTCTTCTTCTTCCAATCGTGCGTGCGGAGCAGCTTGAAGTATGTGTTGCTGAAGCGCGTGGGGTTGTTGACCCATTTGCCCTCGAAGCCGGAGCGGTCGGCGTGGCAGCGGCCCAGGTTGTGTGCGCCGCTCAGACAGACAATCTCACGGTCGTCGAAGCCCATGCGGTAGAAGATGCAGCGCAGGTGGTCGCTGCCCTTGGCGCCATCCGGGAGGCGACCTGGCGGCGGCAACCTGGAGTCGTCGTCGGCAAAGTCTGTGCGGCCGCCCATCCAGGGGATCTCGGGCCCGCCCATCTCGCGGATGGCGACCACGGCCGCCAGCGTCCACAGGTCGGCGTACGTGATCCACGGGAACTGCCGCTTGATGGGCTCCAAGAAAGCCCGCGCGTGCTGCAGCCCCGCGTTGGCCGGGTCCCCCCCTTCCTTCTCATAGCGCATGCCCGCGCCGTTGGAGCCGCCCGTGTTGGTCTGCGCGCAGTATGTGCCGGCGCTGTGCCAGGCGAGACGGACCAGGACGGGCCCCGCGCTGCCGTCGTCATAGCCGGGTTGGTTAAGGAGGGAGATAATGGCTTGTTTGACTTGAGAGAGTTGGTTGGCGGTTGGGAATGATGGCCGGTGAGGGTTCTGGTGGCCGTCGGGCGTCGAAGACGGGGGCGCAGGGAAGGTCGACATGTTGAATTGGCGATGGACAGGACCAGACGAAATCGGTGCCAGTGGTTGCTAGTTGTCAGCTTTTTCAAAGAGATAGTGGCGAAAATTTGAGCGATTCTCTCTTTCTGAGGGGATATCGACGCTTCAGCTCCACGGGGAAGAGTAGGACGGGGTTAGGAAACGAATCAACATGAACACAGCGAGGAAAGACAACGAAAGGAACAGAACAGCAGGTGGCGAGGGATAAAACGGGATATGAAGAAAAAGAACATGACGGAAAGGAAAAGGACCAACAAAGGGGGAAAACCACAAGGGCACGGGAAAATGCGTAGAAGATACGGACGGAGGCAATGCTTGCAGCAGCACCATCCATCTTGCCTCGGTATCACATAGATATTCTGCTGTGCCTGCGCGACCGAATGATGGTATCTGACACGCAGCCAGTGGGTCTGAACAGTGGGCTGCTTCGAGACAAGCACATGGCAGAGAAAAAAAGAAAATTGAGATAGTAGTACTCCGGAGGATGGTCAACTGGATACTTCGTACCGGGTAGGGAAGGCTGAGTTAGCCCGATAAGAAAAAGTGGGCAAGGCTGCCACTTGCGTGATATGGTGCTGTACAGGGTAATAACCGTCGAGCGTCTCCGGCCTTCGGAGGTCGGCAAAATCTCGCATCGTCGTCCCATGGTCCACACACTGTTTATCCCATCGTCTGCGAAGAATCAAGGCTAGCTCGAAGAAAAAGTCGGCATGGCGTTGGGGCTTCCAGGAAATTCGGTAGCCGAGGTTCCGTCGATCCAAGACCCTCTTGTTCGCTGCTTACTGCCTGCTGGCGCCTTGTCCACAGCCCCTTAGCCACACATTTTACCCTGACGTACCCAGTATTGCCCAGAACTGACGTGATACCAGTGATTCTCGTGCAAAGTCCAACGCCGCCTCGCTTGCCGTGTTGCCCCGCTGACAAGAAAGGCTTCCTGCAAACACTGTCCAGTAGAATTCTTCAATATCCGCGAGCCATATTCGCGATTTGGTCCTCCGGGATATCTTCCCGGTCCAGAATATCTGGATTGCGTGTGAACTCATCGCTATCCAGCACAAGACTGATCTTCCTCACGTCCCTCTCCACCACCGTCACGCCCTGCGGCAGTTTCTTCAAGCTCGAGGCCTCCACAACCATACAGCGCGAGAGATATCGCAGCATTGCCGTGACGGCTTTGATCCTCTCTTCTTGGGAGCCGTTCAAAGTGTTTCCCACGGCCTTGGTCAACATCGCTGGCATATATGTTGGTTGGACGGCTGGTGCTCCAATTGATCCGTCCACATTCAGGCCCTCTACCAGCCGCTCGCGGACTCCATCTGAGATGCGTTCCGTAAAGGCAATATAGAAAACATCGGCATCGTCCGGATTCGACGTGTTGCCTAAACAGAACAATCGCATCAGAGCTCGATCTGCTAGTTCTTTGACATTAAATTGTCGCAAATAGCCGGCTTTGTGGAGCAACTCCAGCTTCCTTGTCAGGATGATGTCGTAGCCTTCTCTGACGCCCATCTTTGTCTGAATGATGCCGTGCGCAACGTCATATACGTTGTTATATGACTGGAAGATTGGCTCAATCATTTTCTTGGCGCAAGTCCAGTCTTCATGTCCGGAGGCTCCCGCAAGGTCGAGGATCTGTTCCATGAATCGCATCTCGAAGGCTCGGTCGTGATCTCGCATTTCCAGAAGCCCTGAAAGCGAGGCGGGTGCGTTTTCTGCTTGAGCAAGCTGCCCGAAATTGAAGTCTGAACCAAGTTTGATGCCCCAGAGGAGATAGTCCTTGTCTTGCTCCGTCAGGCGATCTAGCGCGGGGACCATTCCTGCCTTAACCGCACGATAGAGGATCATGTCATGGTTAACTTTGGAGATATCATTCCCGAATCGCGCGGCATAATCCGTCGCAAGAGTGGGATCTTTACCCAGATCGTTGATAATCATCGAAATTATGAGTGTATAGGTGTCATCTGCGGATCTGAGGCCCTTTTGGAAGAGTTCACGCAGCCAGTTGAAAGAATCGCGTTTCAACACAATGGGCGGCGGGCCCTGTGTTCTGGTAAAAGTCTCGTAGTCGTCGTTATGTATCCAGCGGAGAGCTAAAACACCAACCAGCGTGCGGTTGATCTCGGCGTATTCTTGTCCGTATAATAGTTCTGAAATCGAAGGTCCAGCTGGACGGGCTGCATTCGGGTTGCGGAGAAACGTGGCATTCTTCAGTCGTTCCAGCTCCTGCGGGAACTCGAATTTTATCAACTGGAGGAGTTCCATGTGTGGCATTTCCCAGAATGAGCCATCATCGATGGATTGTTGCAGAGATTGGTGTCCCCCTGCGATGTTAGTTTGCATCTCGTCCCTTTGATGAGGACGATCGCTAGGTTTTCCTTGGTGATGTGTTAGAGGCGCGCTGCGAGAAGAAGAATCAGTCTTCAACGGCGAGGCTGAAGGTAATCTATGGTCAATTGATCGGAAAAGATGAGTGCATGCTGCTAGGATCCGAGTGAGTATAGTGTGGCGTTCCTGGCTACCGTCCTCGGTGCTGTCATCCATTGTCACTCCGGTGACTTTGTCCGTTTCCGATGGAAGCCACAAAGACACGGCCTCTCATGACGGCCTCAGAGTAACACCACTGGACTTAATCTGCTGACAAGGAACTCTAGGTGGGCGGTGAAGGTCCTCGAAAAGAAAGAGAGCGCCTTAATCGAGTTTGCACCTAGAATCCTGCCAGGATACACCTGTCACTTTCGGTGGACGGATTTCCCGAAGCAACACATTGCAAAACGGGAAGTGAGTGAGGGGACCGTTGGTGCACTTCGCTGCCTGTGATTCTCACTCCCTTGTTTTTGCGCGCTATGCGAGGGGCTCGGCTGACTTCAAGGTTCGCGCACTGGGGCGCGGATTGTGGCTGATGCGGCACTTAGTGGCTTCTCATAGGCCTGCTCCCGGCGCATTTAACAGGCAGAAAAAGTTTGTGAACGGATTGAATTCGAGGGAAAATGAAAGTTGTCGCAGCCTGGAGATTAGCCTGAGCTGAAACAAGGACGGCAAGACGGCTTGGTACAGCCCCTGGCAGTGATGCAAGTTGATGTCTAGTTGGATACAATTGCTGGGTATTTTCGCGGCTAATCCTAATCTAGCAGGGGCCTCCCCCGTACATATATACAAAGTAAATATATGTATATATCTCGATGAAGGCTGATACGAGGTGGACAGCAATGGCATCGGGAGACAAGATGTAACAGCTCGCGCGCGTGGTCGGAGCAGTTACAAATTTGCAATGGCATGCATGGTTTTCC